AGTGTTCCCTTTTCGCCACACCCTCTCCAACAGCTGTTATTTTTTGAGTTATTGATAATTGCCATTCTGACTGGAGTTAGGTGGTATCTCAGTGTGGTTTTGATTTGCATCTCCCTGATGATTAGTGAGGTTGAACATTTCTTCATGTGTCTGTTGGCTGCTCGGATGTCTTCCTTTGTGAAGTGTCTGTTAAAACCTCAATTTCTCAATCAACTCATCTTCGACAAAACCTCCACCACCTACCACTGGGGAGAGGAGAATCTATTCAGTAAATAGTGCTGGGAAAACTGGTTGACCACATGCAGAAGATTGAAACAGGACCCCTATCTATCCCCATGCACAAAGGTTAACTCCAAGTAGATCAGAGACGTAAATGTAAAACCTCAAACTATAAGAACCTTAGAAAATGAAAGACATACCCTCATGGAAATCGGAACTGGCATCCAATTCCTGAACAAAACCCAAAACCCACAGGTCATAAGAGAGAAAATAGACAAGTGGAACCTTATTAAACTGACAAGCTTCTGCAAAGCCAAAGAAACCATTAAGAGAGCAGGGAGACAGCCTACAGACTGGAAAAAAGTATGTGCCAACTCCAGGTCTGACAAAGACTTAATATCTTGGATCTACAAGGAACTCAAACGTGCTGAAAAGAAAAAAACAAACAACCCCATTATAAAATGGGCAAAATTGTGTATTCTTACATGTTAAAACTTCAGTCACCTTCTAAGTACTCTCTATTTAATGCAATATGTCTATTGAAACACTTTCTCTACTGCTCAGAACAGTTTTGAACTTATCAATTTTGATGCCTTTGAATGCTTCTGTTGTTTTTTAGTTTTACTTCTTTCACCACAGCAAAATGTTTCCCTTTGAAGACCTTTTTCATCTGGGGAAACAAAAAAGTTGCTCGGGGCAAGATTGGATGAATAGGAAAGATGGGCACAGGGGTCCTGCTATTTTTGGTCAAAAACGATTGAACACTCAGTGTGGGCAGGTTGTTCCTGTAAATCAAATCAAATGCAGCCTCTGACAACAATACTAGCTGGTACACTGATGCCAATGGGTTTCTAGAACACTTATCTATCAGGGAAAACCTGTACTATAGGGGACCTGCCTACCAAAAATATTTCTGGGTCTTTTTTGGATCCTCCTTTGTATATTTTGCAGGTAGGACTGGCAGAATTTGCTGATGGGCTGTATATGGGAGGTAAGGGAAATTGTTCCAAATATAAATTTTTTTTTAAGATAAAAGAACATTTAAAATTGGTCAGTTTATAATGTAATATTTAACACTAGTCTTCTACCTGATAAATGTTTTCTTGACACTTTTGTCTATTTTATTTTATTTTTAGGCTTATGCATCTGGATGTGACATTGTAATACTGGGAAGTGATTTTGAAAGATTACAGATAATCCCAGGAGCTAAACATGGAAATATTCAAGTGGGATGTGTAGACTGTTCAATGCAACAAGGCAAGGTTTGTAATCTTTTGGTAATATGCAAATACGTTTTGAATATGGTTTTTGCTAGGTTAATCTCTGAAGTAGGTATTTCCAGTTGAATTAGCTTTGCTTCAAGGACAATGTGCTACAAATTTTTTTGGCTTTCTGAGATGCATTTTAGAGCGTTAGGAATTCTGTTATATAATTTTAAATTATAGCATAATCTTCTCCATGAGTTGAGAAAAAAATATTATACTTCTTACCTATAGAATGAACCTAAAGCTTACTTATTTTTTTGAATCAGGATCTCACACTGTCACTCAGGCTGGACTGCAGTGGCAAGATCATGGCTCACTGCAGCTTAGACTTCCTGGGTTCAGGCAATCCTTCCAACTCAGCCTCCTGTTTAGCTGGGACTACAGGCACCTGACACCACGCCTCGCTAATTTTTTGATTTTTTTTTTGTGGAGAGAGTTCTTACTATGTTGTATAGGCTAGTCTCGAAAACGTGGATTTAAGCAATCTTGCCGTGGACTCCCAAAGTTCTAGGATTACAGGTGTGAGCCACTGACCTAGACTTGAAGCTTACTTATTTAAAAGGTTGGATTAGAGGAGAGGAATGACAATAAATCTTCAATCTGTTTGCAAATAAACTACTGAAGGAAATAACTTGGTAGAGTTATTTTTGTCTATAAACAGGTAGTTACCTCCTTGTAACTTCTGGATGTGCTGAAATGAAGAAAAACTCTTCTAGATCTATAAGAAAAATGAAAAATTTTTTCTGGACTTCCCCTTGCGTATGAAAACTAAAGAGATAACCTTGAAAGTAAAATAGCAAAAACAAAAAAGAAACAGGCCTTCAATTCTTCTAGATCAGGTTAAATATATCTATGTAGTATCATAATGTAGTCTTACTAGTGGCAGCATAGTATATAGCTCAAAATATTTCTTATAGCCATAGATTATAAAGCCTATGCATAATTGTATCTAGACTAGATTAACTTGGCAAATTTACTTTTTTCCTAGATTTTTAAATATATTGTTTGACTACATGATTCCGTTAGAACATTTTGTGTAAGGAATCAAAATGGTGATCTGAGTCCATGGACATGGATCCAATCATTAAAAAAAAAAAAAAAAAATCTAGTTGGACACGATGGCTCATGCTTGTAGATCCCAGCACTGTGGGAGGTTGAGATGAGAGGATTGCTTGAGCCAAGGGGTCAAGGCTGTAGTGAGCTGTGATTGTACCCTCCAGCCTGTGTGACAGAGTAAGACCCTGACTCAAAAAAAAAAAAAAGTCTAATCCTCATTTCTGGTACATCTACCAGTATGAAAATTTACTACTTGGGACTTAATTTAAAGATATTCACAGAAAAGGAATTTCTGTTGTTGCAGTCTTTACCTATTTGTTGGACTGTTCTTTTTGTCACCTCTTCTTCCCTCAACCCTCATTCCTTCTATTTAATGAAGTTACAAGTATCTCCCATCTATCTCTCTCTTGTTTAGACTTTTTATTACTTCTTACTATACTAAAAAAATGATCTTTATTATGGAATTTAAAAAATTCTTGGTACTTTTAAAACATTCTCTTCATGTTTTTGCTCTTCTAGCTCTGTAGTTCTGTAATCTTTCTCATTGTATAAAAACTTGCTTATACCATTTAGACTCACATGGAGCTGGTTAATGTTAGACATCTAATTTAATAATTTTCAGGGACCAGGCACAGTTGCTCATGCCTATAATCCCAGCACTCCGAGAGTCTGAGGCAGGAGGATTGCTTGAGCCCAGGAATTTGAAACCAATCTGGGCTACATAGCAAGACCTCTCTCTACAAAACAATCTAAAAGTTAGCTGAACATGGTGGTGCGCACTTGTAGTCCCAGCTACTCAAGAGGCTGAGATGGAAGGATCACCTAAGCTCAGGAGGTCAAGGCTGTGATTAACTGTGATTGTTCCACTACATGCCAACCTGGGCGACAGAGTGAGACTCCAACTCAAAAAATAAATAAAAATTAAAAAGTCAGGTATGAGACAGGTTGTACCAAGGTCCTCATGCCAAGGTGAACAATATGAATTTTTCCTAGGTAATAGAAAACATAGAATGTTTTAAAGCTGATAAATAAGAAGGTAAATGCTGGTGAATTTTCTCAGGAAAATTAATTTGGTGGTAGTACAGTATAACTACAGTAATGATGAAACTGTAAGTGTCTATGGTTTCAAGTAGCATGTCTATCTTAAAAACAGTAGTCCCTAAGTATTGCAAATTTTCTTCCTGATACTTTAACAAAACCTTTGATAATACTGATATTTATAAATGAAGAAACTATGCCCTTTATTAGAATGATTATAAAACCAAACGACTTATTCATTCTAACCTGGGCTGTCATATAGTTTAGTCTATTACAAAAATGTAGCTCTCATTGGAAATTTTTTATTTTAAGTTGGGAACTGTGCTGCCCAGGCTGGAATACAGACGGGCATGATTGTGGCTCACCACAGCCTCTATCTTCCTGAGTAGCTGTGATTACAAGAATGTACCACCATTCCTGGCTAACTTCTTGATGTTTTGTGGAGACGAAGCCTCACTGTGTTGTCTAGGCTGGTCTTGAACTCCTAGACTCAAGCAGTGCTCTTGCCTTGGCCTCCCAAATCACTGGGATTACAGGCATGAGGTATTGCACCTGGCCCAAACCTGCCTTTTTTAGTCTCATGTTCCTTATTCTTTTATAAAGAACATGGTCTTCTAGCTGGGCTTGTGATCATTCACCTCTAAACATATATTGCCTCTTTGAGTCTTTACTCTTGTGTTCATACTGCGCCCTATTTATAAAATTGAACACTTAACTGCCTTTTGAATTCTTACCCATGCTTAAAGGTCCGGATTGACTTCCTTCCCAGATCAACTCAGTACAAGTGGTTTCTATAGCCTGAGAATTCAGAACAATTAAAATATCATTTGAAATTTTTTTTAATATGTGTATTATATCCTCATTTCTTACTCCTCTCTTTACATTATTATATGTTCTTTTTTTCTAACCATGATTCATTTAGTATTTCTCTTTCTTTTTTTTTTCCCTCTCTTTCTATTTGATTCCCGATATTTTGATGTTCTTCATGTGGAACTCACTCAAGCTATACAAGTAGGAGCTACAAAGCCAGGAAGGGTTATACTTCATTTATTTGGAGTAAATTTAAAAGATAAATCAAATATAATATTTTTTAAAATGTCGTTGGGGAATTCACAAAGGAATAGATCTAAGTTTTTTATTGATTGATTGATTGACTGTTGGAGTCTCACTCTGTCACTCAGGCTGGAGTGCAGGGCCACCATTATAACTCACCACAGCCTTGAGCTCCTGGACTCAGGCGATCCTTCTCAGCCTCTCAAGTTGCTGGTACTACAGGTATTTGCCACCATGACCGGCTAATTAAAATATTTTTTTTGGTAGAGATGAGATATGCTGTGTTGCCTAGGCTGGTCTTGAACTCCTGAGCTCAAGCAGTCCTCCTGCCTTGACCTCCCAAAGTGCATAGGCCACTGTGTCCAGCCTGTTTTGTTTTTTATTTTTGAGTTGGAGTGTCACTCCGTTGCCCAGGCTGGAGTACAGTGGCAAGCTCATGGCCACCCCAGCATCAACCTGCTGGGCTCTGGCAATCCTTCCGTCTCAGCCTTCCAAGTAGCCAGGACTATAGGCGCACTATCACTCCCGGCTAATTTTTTATTTATTGTAGAAATGAAGTCTTGCCAAGTTGCCTGGGCTGGTCTTGAACCTGTGAGCTCAGACAATTCTCTCACCTCAGCCTCCCAAAGTGGGATTACAGGCTTGAGTCACTGCGTCCGGTCCCAGTTTGTTTTTGTTTGTTTTTTTGTTTGTTGAGTTGGAGTCTCACTCTGTCACCCAGACTGGAGTGCAGTGGCCGCTCCTGGCCACTGCAGCCTCCACCTGCTGGGCTCTGGCGATCCTCCCGCTTCTGCCTTCCAAGTAGCTGGAACTACAGGCGCGCGCTACCACCCCCGGCTAGTTTTTTTTGATTTATTGTAGAGATGAGGTCTTGCCACGTTGTCCAGGCGGGTCTCGAACCTGCGGGCTCAGGCAATCCACTCACCTCAGCCTCCCAAAGCACGGGATTATAGGCTGAGCCACCGAGCCTGGCTCCCAGTCTGTTTTTAATAAGTTAAGTAATTGCAAACTTTGAGGTTGGATAACAAGAATTGACATTTGCTATGCATATTGTATTTCATGCATTATATGTTATATATGTTATTAAGATCCTCAAAATAATTCTCTTAGAAAGATAGTATTGTACACAAATAGAGAAACTAAAGTTTAAAGAGATTAACTTGCTAGTTACATGGTAAGTGGCAATGCTAAGATTCTAACCCAAATGTGATTGTCTTCAAAACTGACATTAAGTACTGGCTAATGAAATGGTGTGTGTGGGCATATTTAAAGTTATACAGTTCATTTCTTTTGCTTCTTTGATCCATAAGTCTATTAACATGTCCATAATAAACTTTCTTTTTTATTTTTAAAAGATTGCAGCATCCTATGGAAATGTTATCTCTGTTTTTGAACCAGTTAACCTACCGAAACAAAAGAAAAATTTGGTCAGTAATTTATTATTTTTCTTTTAATGATTGAAATATCTATAGTATTAAAGGCATATAAAATCAGAATAATCATAAAATAAATCAGTATAAATTATATACTCTAATTGAAGATAAATGTTAAATCCCACTTCCATATTAAAAATATATTTACATCTTTTGCTGGAGTAGAACTTAACCAGATTGTGCCAGTGAATTGTCTTGAAATGCTTTACTATTTTACATTCTGACATTTTTTATTTTATGATAAATATTTGAAGAGTGAATGATTTAAAATTTGGCAGTTACTTGTTTGGTAGTATCAAACAGGATTGTCCAGACACATGTGGTACTATATTCTGTTTTATGGCCTACCTTTATACAATGTTTCTGCATCCTTTCATTTTAAAAAATGCTGTTCAGGTATTTTGTAGAAGGCCACTCAATTGAAGCTTATTTGGTGTTTTTCTCATAATTAGACTGGGATTATTGGTTTGGAGAGAAAAACCACAGAGGTAAAGTAGCATTCTCATCACGTCATATCAAGGATATATATTACCAACATGACTGATGACATTAACCTTGATTACCTGGCTGAGGTAGTGTCTGTTGGGTGTCTCCATAAAGTCACTCTTTTTTTTTTTTTTTTGAGTTGGAGTCTCACTCTGTCACCCAGAGTGGAGTGCCGTGGCATGCTCTTGGCTACTGCAGCCTCGACCTGCTGGGCTCCAATGATCCCTTCTGCCTCAGCCTTCCAAGTAGCTGAAACTACAGGCATGCACTACCACGCCCTGCTAATTTTTGATTTATTGTAGAGATGAGGTCTCACCAAGTTGCCCAGGTGGATCTCGAACCCGTGGGCTCAGGCAATCCACTCGCCACGGCCTCCCAAAATGCTGGGATTACAGGCTGAGCCACCAAACCTGGCCAGGAATTTGAATATTTTCTTAACATCTCAGTCTATTTTTTGTTGCATGAAAGTTTGAGAACCCCTGTATTAAGAGAGTATTTATGAATCTCAATAAATTAATAGGTATGAAATTAACTTAGTAGGCTACAACCTGGATTTAAAAAGAAAACAAAATAGAATATAAAATGTCAGAGTATATCACATGTAGTAAGGGGAAACCTAGGTTGCATTTATGTATATTATTATGTATGTGTGTTCTGGGTCATGGTGCTTTCCTACTGATTTGTAAACAAAACATACATCTTTTACTGATTTGCAGACAAAAAAAACTTGAAAAATACTCCTTTAAGACATGGAAAGACCTTAAGTTATATAGTAGTAAGGGAATATTGTATATTTTATTCTGAGTTTTCCCACATACCTCATGATCTCAGGTGAGGGTGAAACATAGAAAGAGAAGGAAGCCTCAAATAGCATTAAGACATAGACACTTAAAATTAAACTTTTGACTGTAACTATATTAATAGTAATAGAGTAATAATAAAATTTGACATTAATAAGACTGTTATCCAAGGTAGCGTATAGTTGTTGTTCTTTTATCCTAAAGGTGGACTTTTGGACCTTCAGGAATGAGAATTCCCTCACTAATCTTTATTATGTATTCCCTATTAATCCTGACTAAATTGAAGATTTTGTTCTTTTTAAAAGTAATTGCATAGGCCAGGTGCAGAGGCTCATGCCTGTAGTTTCAGCACTTTGGGAGGCCAGTGCGGGAGGATTACTTGAGTCCAGAAGTTGAAGACCACCCTAGGCAACATAGCAAGACTTCCTCGCTACAAAAAAAAAAAAATTATCTGGGCATAGTGACGCATACCTGTAGTCCTGCAACTCCTGGCCTCAAGTGATTCTCCTGCATCAGGACTACTCAGGAGGTTGATGCTGGAGAATCACTTGAGCCCAGGAGTTGTGGTCAGCTGTGCCCTGCACACCAGTCTAGGTGACAGTGTGAGACACTGACTCAAAAACAACAAATACACTGCATGTATTATCATATGAATTGTAAGCATTAAATGTACAGACAGAGAAAAGATGCCAATCATTATTAACTAAATGACTTTTTTTAATTTTAGGAATTATATAGTCAGTGGCAGAAGACTGGCCAATTTTTTCTGGAATCAATAGCACATAATATAACTTGGGACCCCACAGGTAAGAAGATAAGCAGAGTTAACTGAAGTGAAATATCACTTTCATTACTAGGCTATTACTTTTATTACTCTCATGTATTTCAGTTTTACACTGCTTCGTGTGAGATTGTGGAGAATACAAAAGAAGTAAAACAGATTGTGTCCTTTTAGAGTTTATACTGAAATGAAGACAAATATGCACTGTAATAAATGACAAAATGTGGTAAATGCCATAATAGGATACCTGTTGTTTTTGGAAAGAGACCCTCTCTGGAGAATCAGGATTTCATTAAAGAGGAGTCTTTTGACCTGAGAATAGTGAGATTCTAACAATGAAAGTGGAACAGATAGATGAAGAAAAGAGAATTGACTTCCAAAATAGATAATGAGGATATGTATCAGTTAATCTATTTCTGCATTAGAAAATTATTTCAAAACTCTGTGCCTTAAATCATCCATCATTTTATTGCTTGTGATTCTGTAGGCCAGGAATTATTACAGGACTTTGTGGTAATGGCTAGTTTCTTATTCCTTGTGGTATTGGCTGAAGTAGCTTGTCTGCAGCTAAAAGATCCAAGAAAGGCTTTGTTCACATATCTAGGCCTTGGGGCTTGCTATCTACTGGAATGTCTTTGTTCTCTTCCAAATATACTCTCTTCTGTGGCCTCTCTAGCAGGGTGCCCTGGATTTTACATGGTGGCTGGATTCTGAGTGTGAAAGTTAAAAACTGCAAGGACTCATATAGCCTGGGTTTGGAAATCTACCATATGCTACCATATTATTTGGTTTCAAGTCCAGCTCATATTCAAGGGATGGGAGAAATAGACTCTACCTCTTGATGAAAGATGTGGCAAAGTCATGGGCAAAGGAAGACATGGGAGGATTGGGCACAGGAAGACATGACTTATTGGGAGCCATATTTATCATTCTACCACAGTGAGCAAAGTCACAGAGATAACATTCTAATAAGGATAATGTAGTACTTCACTGGGACTGTAGTAAGTTCCAGTGAATGGTGGTAAGGAAATAAGTCTATAGTCTATTATAGAATGCCTTTAAAGTCATGCTAAGGAATTTGAATTAAATATTTTTGTCTAAAAACTGTTATAGATTTTTGATGTTGTTGTTGTTTTTGAGTAGGAGTCTCACACTGTCACCCAGGCTGGAGTTCAGTAGCACACTCATGGGTCGCCACCGCAGCCTCAGGCAATTCTCTCACCTTGGCCTCCCAAAGTGCTGGGATTATAGGCTTGAGCCACCACACCCGGCCTGGATTTTAAATGTTTTAAGTGGAATATTAGTATTTTGGTTCTTATTAACATTTGCTTACCATAATATGCCAAGTATTTAGGTAAAAGCTTTTTTTTAGATGGTGTCAGCATTGTAGTGTTTTTGTGAGGTGTCTGAATTCACTATTGCATCTTGCCTATATCATAAGATTTCTGTTTTAGATTTTTAATGCTTTTCCTACTTTAACATCCATACCTCTGTCCTTTGTATTAGAAGTTAGTATACTATACCATATCTTACCTACTTTTGTTCCATTCCGTACCTGGAATTAATTATTTTGTATTCTATATTAAATTCTTAATCCTTCACAGGATACCTTAATTTCATCTTCAGTTTATGTTAAACAAAAGAAAACTTGTATCTGTTCGTAAGTTCGAAAGTGGAATAATAAAGTCATGATTTAAATGGAATGTTTCAGTACTTTTTGTGCTTTTTTTTTCCTGTTTATGAAACCTTTTATCTAGTTGCTCTACTATTTATTGAGCTTCTGCTAAGTGCCAGGGCTGTGCTAGAGACTTTGTACATACTTCAATCTAATCCTTACAACAGCTCTATACAAACCTTGAATTTTATAGATGAGAAAATTGAGATAACATTCTAATAAGGATAATGTAGTAGATTGCTCAACTAGATCAAATTAACATGACTAATTAAATGACTTAATTGGGATTTAGACACAAGAATTTCTGATCTAAAGTCTCTCAGACTCACTTTATTTTTGAAATAAGAAAGTGATCATTCCAGAAAGACACAAATCCATAGTCCTTAATTGCCTAGGTGAATGCTGTACTTACTGTCATCTTGTGTGTGTGTGTGTGTGTGTGTGAGAGAGAGAGAGAGAGAGAGAGAGAGAGACAGTTGCTTGTTCTTCTTTGTAGGGATAAATAGCATAAACTTCTACTCAATTTCTAGGTCATCAAGTTGGAATCTGTCCTTGAAACCTGTTTTTTTTTTCCTCCCCTATATTTAGTTGTTATCAAGGCTTGACAATTCTACGCCTTTTTTTTAAAAGCAGGATTTATTGAGAGGACAGAAAAACTCCCACAGTGGGAGGGGACCCAAGGGGGTTGCCCGACAATTCTACTTTTTAACATAGCTTTCCAATCCTTTTAAAATATTTTGTTGAGATCCTTATGATTTACCATCTGAATTACTATAGTTAATTAACCAGATTTCCCTGACTCTTAAGTTTCTTCTAATCTTGTTCATCTCTAGAGTTACTTTCTAAAAAGAATTTTAATCTTCTTTGTATACTACAGTCTTTGAAAATATAATGAAAGTTATAGATTATTTCTCTAGAAAAGTACACATACTATACTTACAAGTTTTGTTTATTATCTCAATAGAAGGAGGCTCACAGGCCCTTAGGTCTATCTATTGACTGTACTCCCACTTAATTAAGACCTCTTGTTCTAAATTACTGATCCAATTATGTTACACCACCACCACCACCACCCTTAAAAAACCTTTTATTGCCAGCTACCTCTAACAAAGTCCACACACTTTATTAACTTGAAAAATACTTCACAGTCTTACTCTGGCATGTTTTCCAACCTTATTTCTTTTTCTATCCTTACTATATACCTTATTTCCTAACCATGCCAAAATAAGGGGCATTCTTGGGAAAATATGTAGACTCACATACCTTCATGCCTTTGTTCATATTAGGTCTTCTTTCTGAAATACCTGTCTCTTCTACTGCTTATGCATCCACTAAGGACCAGGTTGCATTTCATCACTTTCCCTGGCACTTTCATTGCAGGTACACATTAATTTCTCTTTCCTGTGGGCTTCCATAAAACTTTGCACACATTTCTATCATGTATCTGATAGCTTTACATTGTATCATAACATTTCTGTGTCTTTCTACTGAATTATGAACTCATCTTGAAAAAGGACAATGTTTTGTCATCATATTCCCAGCCTAGCACAGTGCCTTGTACAAAGAAGATGCTCATTAAATGTTTGTTGAATGAGAGATTATAAGCTAGATCTCTTCCATTCTTTCCCAAGCTGTTTCAATAAAATTAAAGTACAGTCTCTTTTCCTTTCCTCCAAATACCTTTTTGTTATTTAATGTTTTTAGGAGTTGTATTATCTTTATAATATACAAAACTCGAGCATGTAACTTAACTCACTATTAATACCTAAATAGTAAATGGTGAATGATATTTTTTAGGCAGTCGTCTTTTAACTGGTTCCAGCTATTTGCAACTCTGGTCCAACATTAACTTGGAGAAACCAGCTGAAGATGAAAATTCAGATAAAGCAGATCTTAACTTTGGGGATTGGAGATGCATTTGGCATTGCAAGTAAGCAACTGATAAGAGGATTAAACTGACAAACCTGTTCTGTGAGGTCTTATTAGATTATAAATATATTTTAGTTCATTTAGAAATCATATTACATTTAACAGTTTTGATTTTTTTACTTTCTTGTACACAGAATTTACTATTTCCCATGTTCTACAGATACATTTTTAAAATTTCAAGTAAAATAAGTAGGAAGAAACATGAAATATATAAGGCCTGTATGAAGATTATTAAATACAAACTTGCTAAATTATGTAAAAGAGAGACACCTTCATTGTTTTGAATGGAAGGTTTCCTATCTTAAAAAAGTATATTTTAAAATATACTTTTGGTCTTTATATTAAATATAATTTTTGTCAAAATCCCATTGGTTTTTCTGCTTTTGAGCACAGTTCTAAGCATAGTTCTAAGCTTTATTTGAAAGGACAAATAGGGGGAAATCAGGGAAAGTCTGAAAGAAAAGAGGAATAAAGATATATAGTATAGTAAAATGAATTCTAAAGCTACAGCTGCTCAAGCATTTTGTTGTTTTTGTAGGAATAGACAGATTAGGGTCCAGGATTAGACTCAATTTTACATGGAGATTCAGTATGTAATGTAGCATTTTACAGTGGACAAACTAGCTAGTTCTGTGGAGGGGAAATGAAGTTAGAGACTGTTTCATATTTGGCAACAAAACAAATAGATGGACGGAAAAACTGAATTTCTATATGATGAAACAAAAATATTAGAAGAAGTATAGGTACATTTTCATATTTTAGAGCTACATTGTCCAGTATAGTAGCCACAAACCACGTTACTATAGAGCACTTGAAATGTGGCAAGTCCAAATTGAGATGTGCTGTAAAATGCACACTGGAATTTCAAAAACTTAGCATGAGAGAGGAATATAAAATATCTCTAATACTTTTGATTATATGTTGAAATAATATATATATTAGGTTAAATAAAATATGTTATTAAATTTTTACTTTTTTTGGTTTGTTTTTGATTTGGAATCTTACTTTTATCGCCCAGGCTAGAGTGCAGTGGCATGCTCACGGCCACCACAACTTCGACCTGCTGGGCTCAGGCTATCCTTTCACCTCAGCCTTCCATGTAGCTGAAACCACAGGCATGCGCTACCATGCCTGGCTAATTTTTTTTATTTATTGTAGAGACAAGGTCTTGCCAAGTTGCTCAGCCTGGTCTTGAACCCCTGGACTCAGGCAGTCCTCTTGCCTCCATCTCCCAAAGTGCTGGGATTACAGGCATGAGCCACCTCGCCTGGTTTCTTTTTACTTTTTAAAAAAGGTAGCTAGAAGGAAATTTAAAATTACATATTTGGCTAACATTTGTCATTTATGTTATATTGCTGTTGGATAAAGATACTGCTTTAGAATTAGGAAAAGACTTTGCAAGAATGACACCAAAATTGGAAATGGAAAAGAAAGGAGAAAATAATCATTTTGACTGGATCAGTAAAATATTTCTTTCTATAAAGCAAAAAGACCATAAGGAAAGAAACAAGAGCATGAGGAGAAATATATGTGATTTTGGGTTAATGCCTTTTTATTTTTTATTTTTATTTTTTGAGTAAAAATCTCACTCTGTTGCCCAGGCTGAAGTGCAGTGACATGCTGTCACCACAGCCTTGGCCCGCTGGGTTCAGGTGATCCTTTCACCTCAGTCTTAAAAGCAGCTGGAACCACCAGTGCGTGCCACCACGCCTTGCTAATTTTTTGATTTATTGTAGAGACAAGGTCTCACCAAATTGCCTAGGCTGATCTCGAACCCCTGGGCTCAGGCAATCCTCTCACCTCTACCTCCCAAGAGTGTTGGGATTATAGGTGCGAGCCTCTGCGCCCATCTTAATGCTTTTTTAAAAGAAGTACTTAGGTGGGTCGCAGTGGCTCATGCCTGTAATCATAGTACTTTGGGAAGTGGAGAGGATTGCCTGAGCCCAGGGATTAGAGATCAACCTGTGCAACTTGATAAGACCTCATCTCTACAATAAATTCAAAAATTAGCCGAGTGTGGTGGCACATGCCTGTGGTTCCAGCTACTTTGAAGGCTGCGGTAGAAGGATCACTTGAGCTTAGTTGGCCAAGGCTGCGGTAGCCGTGAGCATGTCCAGCCTGGGCAATAAGACTTTGACTCAAAAAAGTAAAATAAATAAATAATAATTTTAAAAAAGGTGTATTTAAACATTAATTAGGAAAGAGCAGGTATCACAATAGTAAACAACAGTGGGCAATGGAGAGAAAATTGTATTATGGTATAGAACATATGAATAATAAGCATATTAAGTGATTGATTTCATGTGAATAAAGAAATGTGAAATGTTCAGAAATAAAAGGAAGAATAATGTCTATTAATATTGACTGGAAAAACGCACTCTTAAATACTGTTAATAAGGGAACACAGCAGATTGCTGTTCTGGATGCTGCTTTCTTGCAGCATACTCAGTAAACCGTTTTTCTGCTCTTAAAAAAAAAGAAAAATTGTTCAGGATAGTAAAATTAAAACATAGGTTAAGAAAAAATAAGGGAGTACAGTTGATATTATCTTTCTAGAGCACATTTTGGAAGTAGAAATCAACAGGCTTAACCTTCCTTCCCTCCCTCCCTCCTTCCCTCCCTCCCTGTCTCCCTTCCCTCCCTCCCTTCTCTTTCTTTCTTTCCTTTATTTTCTCCTTTCTTCCTTCCCTCCCCTTCCCCTTCCCCCTCCTGCTCACTCTCTTCCCTCCCTCCCCCTTCTCCCCTCCCCTCCCCTCCCTCCCTCCCTCCCTTATTTCTTTTTGTTGGAGTCTCACTCTGTTGCCCAGACTAGAGTGCAGTGGCACAGCCCACCACAGCCTCAACTTGCTGGGATCAGGCAGTCCTTCTGCCTGAGCCTTTCAAGTAGTTGGAACCACAGGTGCGCACCACTATGCCCAACTAATTTTTTGATTTATTGTAGAGATGAGGTCTCAAACCCCTGGTCTCAGGCAGTCCCTTGCCACCACCTCCCAAAGTGCTGGAATTACAAGCGTGAGCCACTGTACTGTGCCGGACATAGGCTTAATTTTTAAAATATCCTTTAGAGAGTAATTCCAGGTTTCATCCATTCATCTAACAAATATTTGTACAGGAAGCTGTGTAAATGCTTGGAATATTGCAGTGAACAGATACGACAAGATAGAAAATAAGCCAATAAACTGGTATAACAGGGTGTTAAATGAAGTTCTTCCTGACTTGGTGTATATGAAGCGGCAGTAGCATAAGTAACATACCAAATAAGAGTAAGGCATACCTCCTAAATATAGAATTTACAGAGGAAACTTTAAAGGATATGGTTCTTTGTATTTTGTATCCCTCAGATGAATTGTGGGTATAGAAAAGGGTTAATGTGGAGTGGGAACAGTATTTCGCATAAATGCTGTTTTAGAAAGTACTGTGACTTTGCTTTCCAATCTTTCATATGAGGGGTGGGGAGTAGGAGTATCAAAGTATTCTATTACCTTTACCACAGGTCCTTCCATTAGATGAATGGAGAAGTTGAAATGTGTTTTGTACAGTTGTGAGAGAAGGAAGCACTGTTGAATTAACTTTGGCATATACAGCTGCAAGCAGAAAAACCATGGGACTAGAAACTCTGCAAGTTTAGATTTAAGAGCAGCTGAAGACTAACATTCTACTGGAAACATTTTCTTTTTATTTAAAAAAAAATTATTATTATTATTTTTTGAGTCATGCAGGATCTCATTCTGTTGTCCAGGCTAGAGTGCAGTGGCACGATGACAGCTTACTGCAACCTCAACCTCCCAGGCTCAGGGGATCCTTCTGCCTCAGCCTCCCAAGTAAATCTCAGGATATTTTTAAGACAAATTATTAAAAGTTCCTGGTCTCTCTGTACTCACTTTCGCAGCACATATACTAAAAATGCATGGTCTCCACTATTGTGACTTGTCTCTCTCTCTAGCCTTTCCTGAATGCAGCAACTAGAGCAGTCCTTAAAGGAATCTTGCTATGTTGCCTAGGCTGGTCTCCAACTCCTGGTCTCAAGCAATCCTCTTGCCTTGGCTTCCCAGAGTGCTAGGATTATGGGTGTGAGCCACTGTGCCAAGTCTTCAAATTATTTCTTATCTGTTTAATTTACAGAACTGCTTCCCAAGTTCATTTAATGAAATTTTCACCAGATGGAGAATTTTTTGCCACTGCTGGAAAGGTAAGTTGTAAAAATGCTGTTGCCAAATTTGTGTGTCTATAATTTGTTTTGAAGTTTTAAAAAAACATTACCTAGCTTCATTCCCTTATTTATTTTACTTTAAAATGATTGAAAATACTATTTTTCTATTGGAAGCATTAAGTAACAGAAATTGGCTAAATTACTGTATTGTTAAAAGGCATAATTGAAAAGCGTAGACTTAGGGGCAGATCTGGATATAAATCTGCCATTTGCCAGCTTTGTCATCTTGAACAAGTTAGTTAATCTTTTTGAGTTTTTCTTTTCTCATGTATAATATGAGGATAATACTACTTACTTCATAGGTAATTAATCATAGGCTTAATATAGATAGAGTATATAGTATAAAGTGACTGACATAGTGCTTTGCATGTAGTATTTAATCAGTAAACTATAGCTTCTATTTGTATTACCTTTTAGCTGACGTGTGTATTTAAAACTGTATTTTAAAAAAATATAATACTTTAGGCTGAGTACAGTGGTTTACTCCTGTAATCCCAGCACTTTGGGAGGTGGAGGTGAGAGGATTGCCTGTGCTCAGGGGTTCGAAACCAGCCTGGAAAACTTGGTGAGACCTCATCTCTACAATAAATCAAAAAATTAGCTGAGCATGGTGGTACACACCTGTAGTTCTAGCTACTTGGAAGCCTGAGGCAGAAGGATCACCTAGCCCAGCAGGTCAAAGCTGTAGTAGCTGTGAGCATGCCACTGCACTCCAGTGTGAGTAACAGAGTAAGACTTTGACTAAAAAATAATAGTAATAGTAAATACAAATAAAGTAAACAAAAAACATAAAAGAGTTCATAGATTTTCTAGAAGGCTATTTGTAGCCATTCCTCTGTGTGCATACTTTGTTATTGTTGATTTCAGAACAGTGTATTTCTTTGAAATTATTTTAATCATTGGTTCATAGAGCAGTTCATGAATCACTAGTGGTCTGAAAATGTTCTCATGGCTCAAAGCCTTCTGCAGTAAGAGTACGAGATACTCTAAAACCACAGTGAGGTTTTCTTTTTTTAGGAGAGAAGTGGAGCTGTTTATTCTGGTTGACTGTACAGGTGGGAACTCAGTTATAGCTTAAAAGCAGCACTGGGTACATTCTAGTCTCCCTTGCCCTTGTTTCCCAAATTAGGAGGACAAAAATGATTGTACATTGAATATATTGTATAGTGTTAGTTATTAACTAGTTATTTTCATCAGCATTTCCTTTGAAAAGTTATATGATAATTCATGAAAAGTATCCTTTTAAAAAAATAATTAGCAGTGTTTATAAGTCTGCTAGTGGTGTTGGTTTTTTATTTGATATTTGACTTAAGGGGAAATAAACTTTTAATTTCATCTTTCAGTCTTTCCTGAATGACCCCATTTCCCATAGTATATGGTAATTGGCAAACAGTTTTCTTGAATACAGAATACATACGTTCACACACGTTGATTCTCAAAGCCCAAGTAAGGAATACTAAACGAAAAGTATCAGAATCAGAATGTTCTTCTTAATTCCTCTGTGTCCAACCCCTCCTCCCAGCCTCAAGTTTCTGCCTTTGGAGAGAAATGTCTTACTCTTGCTGTTTGACTTAACCTTTAATTCTGATTTGCATGTTTTTCTGGTTTTTTTTCCTCTTAGGATGACTGTCTCTTAAAGGTATGGTATAATGTAGAAAACTGGCGGACAGCTGTTACCTCTCCAGAAAGAAGTTCAGAAAAGCAATCCCAAGGAGAAATTGACTTTTCTTTTGTATATCTGGCTCATCCTCGAGCTGTAAATGGATTTTCCTGGCGTAAAACAAGCAAATATATGCCTAGGTCAGTGGATTGATCATTTTTTTCCCATGAGTTAAGAGAATATAATCTTTGTGACTTTGATTGCTATTCTCACTTTGAGAGTCTGTAGCTGTAGAACTTCTGAGCTATGATGATTAAAGTAATGAGCTGGGCGCTGTGGCTGGTGCCTGTAATCACAGCACTTTGGGAGGCCGAGGCACGAGGATCGCTTGAGCCCACGAGTTCAAGACCAGCCTGAGCGACATAGTGAGACCTCCTCTCTACAAAAAAAAAAAAAAAAAAAAAGAATAAAAGAAAAAAGAAAGTAATACTAGATAGTCCTTGGCCTTAACACCTCTGGCTAATAGGTCCATTATGATTGATGTTTAGGATAAGAACAATGTTGAAAGAGCTTAAGTTGAGATAATTGCTTTTATATCATATATCTTTAAGTTCCAGAGTTGTGCATTTTGTTTTTCTTTATGTTTTGGGTCCAATTCTTTTATCTCTTATTCTTTGGATTGCTGTTTGCATGAATGTTTTTACATTTTACTCCCTCCTCTTGTACCTATCTAGTATGTATGTCTTCTCTGGTTTTCTTTTTTAAAAAATAGCTTTATTGAAGCTGGGCATGGTGACTCATGCCTGTAATCTCAGCGCTTTGGGAGACTGAGGCAGGAGGATCACTTGAGCTCAGGAGTTTGAGACCAGCCTAGGCAGCAAAGTGAGACCCTGTCTCTATTTGTAAAAATAAAAATCAGTCAAACAAAAAAGCTTTATTGAGAGGATATGCCATGAATTCTCTAACATTTATTTGACGGCACCCAACGTCTTTCAGGAGAAGAAAGTGGTTTAATACCCTGTATTATCCTGCCCTGAAATAGGTATTCACTTAACCCATATAAGCAAACACAAACACACACACATACCCGCTAGTACTTTTTTTCTGTAGTCCTGGAAAGATTTCATATCATACTATATTTCTGTCTGTACTTAAGTTACAGAGACCTGTTACTTAAAGTATAGGTAGAAATCCCTCTTTGAACCACATGGCCATTTTCAATTTGGCCACACCATGTGACCAATGCATTTTCCTTACCTTTTTACTGTTTCATGACTTTTGCCCCCTGAGAGCTCCCAAGCTGAGCTGTGGTAGTGTACCTTTATCATTTGTTGACTTTATTTTTGCTCTTCTGTGCCAGCAAAGTATACCTATACCCCTTGAGCTATGGTGCAGTAGTTACTGTTGTTATTACCCCAGCCCTACAGTCTAACAAAGTATAGGTGTAGGAGGTACACTCTAGGAAAAGTAATAGTTCTGTAGGAGGATCTATCAGAGTCTTTGGGCTTGGGGAGAGTGATCTGGACAATCTATAGTTAGCAAAGGCACCCTCCCCCAAACTTCACTTAGAGAAGTATTGCTTTGGTGTCTCTGAGACCATTGCCTGCATTTATACACATGAATTTAGAATAGAATGAGCTTGTGGCATATGTTAGCTTTTGTTTTAAAAGTTGTGGCCCTAGCTGTAACCACAAACTGTGAACCTCTTAGATCTATCTAAGGATTATATATTTTTAGAGGCTGATTTCATCTGATACATCTAAGGATTTTCATATGCAGATGCTAGAACCACCAAAATACTAAAAATGGAGCTTATGAAGTATTGCATCTTTTGAGAGAGGACAGTCACTTCTGCTGCTACCTAGTTCACTTAGTGTCAGCAGAACTGATCATGGTGGATGCAGAGGCAGATGCCTTAATCTAGACCATTATAGAAGTCTGATAATAGAAGTAAAGCATACCAGTTTTTTTTTTTTCTGCCCATGTTCATTTTATCAACTAAATTCTGCAGCAAGGGAACTGTGCTGTATAGAACTAGAATTTTCTAGAAACAGGGAGGCTAGGAGAGGGGTAGAAAAAAGAAAATGAGACAAAATGGAGGAGGGGTGGGTCTAAGAATAGGGGAAGGAAGAGAAACAAAGGGTTTGGGAGGGTAAGGAGAAAAGTAGTGCTAGGAAGGGAGAGGTGAGAGACAAGGAGAGAAAGGAAAGGAGGAGGGTGGCCTGGGAGGCTGAGAACAGAGAATGGTGGGCGAGAGAAGCCCAGAGATGGGGAGAGGAAGGCAGGAGAGTAGGCAGTAAAAGGGGACAGGAGGCTAGAGGGAGAAAGATGAGAGAATGGAGGAGGGAAACTGAAGGAGAGAGCAACTAAGATAAAACATGCCCTTCTCCCTTTTCTTCTCTTCTGCTACTTGTTCTTTTTTAAACAGGAAAATACATTCTACCATAGAATATTTTGATTTCTGTGCTGAAAGAAGTAAATACTACAAGATATTATGACCTTTTCTTCCTTTCTTTTTTTTACTTGTTGAGTTACTCGATAGAAGGTAGTCTTTGTTGATAGGTTGTCAGCCTTTGAGCTCTTGATGCTTATGGGGTTTATTTATATATATGTAATTGATTTTTACTTTTATTTTTGAGGAAGTGGCAAGAAGGAAATTAACTAAAAGTCAAGGATGACTAAGGAGGAAGATGTTTAGTGCTTATTTTATTATGAATTTTCAATTCTTGCATTTCACCGCTTTGGGCATGTATTAGGCTAGAAGAGAATAAGTGTACTAAATAGTTATAACTTGTTTAGTGATCAGTGTGCAGATGCCTTTACAGAAAGTAAAAATGAAACATGAAATAATTCAAATAATAACCATCCACTGAGTAAATTAGAAATTTTATTATAAGATATAGTTGTTTTCCTTGTTTGTCAACTTATTATGGCTTGATCTCAGTCTTTGTTCTTTAAATGAAAGAAGCATCTTATTATTGAGAACTAGGCATGGTGGGTCCTTGTAATCTTAGCTACTCAAGAGTCTGAGGCAGGATGATTGCTTCAGCTCAGGAGTTTGAGGCCAACCTAGGCAACATCGTGAGACCATGTCTCTTAGGAAAAATAAAAAGAAAATTTGTCAAGATTATTGAAACAAGAACTACCAAATTGTAGGCAGAGAAGAAATAGGTTGGCAAACCTTTACTGTGCTGAAATCTATACACAGTGATGTTTTCTTCATTGGAACCTTAGTCTTGTGCGTTGAAGTAATTATAGAAACATTGTAGAATTATCTGTGGTACTGTGTGAAATTTGTATTTTTGTCTCTTAAAATCTTTTTATTCCTTAGGGCTTCTGTATGTAATGTACTTTTGACATGCTGCAAAGATAATGTGTGTCGTCTTTGGGTAGAGACATTTTTGCCAAATGATTGTTTACTGTACGGAGGTGACTGTAACCATTGGACTGAACCAATTAATTTAACAAACAACTTCAAGAGAAATGCTTCCAGTAAAGAACGAGTACAAAATGCGTTAGAAGTGAGTGTTTTTGTTAGATGCTATTTCCAAGTTTTAAAACCTTTGGTACATTGACTTTTTAGTAATATAATACTATCATGAGAAATCTGTGTCTTAGGAAAACAGTTCTCAAAAATTTTTCAGTTTTATTTTGTTCAATTATGTTTGTCTAGAGTACAAAATCTACAAAAATATGATTACATGTGACTTAACTGAAGTAACATCAAGTAAACTAGAATCTGGGAATGCAAAGATTTGACTGTAGAAATAACTTGTTTTTTTGGGGGGGGGCTTGGATAGTTTATCGTATGCTGCTCTACCATTTGTTATTTTAGAACCTCCCAGAACCCAGCGTCTTTATTTTACAAATTAATTTTGAAAATAAAGTAATTTTTCATGTTTGAACTAAGTGAAGATAGAGTAGTACCACAGATTCTTTTTGGTTTTTTCTTAATATTGAAAACAAGAAGTGATTTTTAAATGATTTCTCTTTGGATGCTTTGTATGATTATGGAGCAATTATTTTTCACTTTTGGATAGTATTCTCATGGTTCAGAATATGATTAAATCTATATTGCATGGCTATTCAACAACAAATAGATTGGTTTTGTGTAGTAATAGCTGAAGGAAGTCCTTGACTAATCTGGAAAATTGTTTTACTTTTAACTGTGCCTCTTATTAGCTGATGGCCTTGGAGTCCATGTAAACTATTTTATCATAAAAGATGAAAATAACAATATTTGCACAACTTCTCTCATGGGATCAAATGAGATGATCTCTATTAAAATGCTTTATAGGTTATAAAATATTCTAATGTATGGTGGTAATATTATTCAGTGCTTTGCGGTCATAGAGAGTTAGCTGTGGACAAAGAGGACAGTATATGTAGAGACTTCATTATTCACAGATATATTATTAGAAATTTTTTTTTAACTTTTTATTTCAGGAAATTAATTTTAAGAAAATGAACTAAGCCGGGCTTGGTGGCTCAGCCTGTAATCCCAGCGCTTTGGGAGGCTGAGGTGAGTGGATTGCCTGAGCCCGCAGGTTTGAGACCCGCGTGGGTAACTTGGTGAGACCTCATCTCTACAATAAGTCAAAAATTAGCTGGGTGTGGTAGCCCGCCTGTAGTTCCAGCTACTTGGAAGACTGAGGCATAAGGATCGCCTGAGCCCAGCAGGTTGAGGCTGCGGTGGCCGGGAGCAGCCACTGCACTCCAGTCTGGGTGACAGAGTGAGACTCCAACTCAAAAAAAAAAAAGAGCCAGGCACTTTAAGTGCTAACCTTATTCTTTAGGATTCAAATTTGTTATATAAAAATGTTGAAGGAATTTTTACATCTAAAATTATCTGAAATAGGATATATGTAACTTATAACAATCATTATGTAACCTAAAGATATATGACTTATAACAATATAAGCATTACTTTTATTTTGTTTTTTTTTTTTTGCGCAGGTGAATCTGAGACATTTTCGTAAAGGTCGGAGGAGATCACTTGCACTTGTAGCACATACCGGATATCTGCCTCATCAACAGGATCCTCATAATGTCCACAGGAACACTCCACTGCATGCCAATGCACTTTGCCACTTTCATATTGCAGCCAGCATCAATCCAGCCACAGGTAGTAAGGCATTGTTCAAAATATGTTTTTAGCCTGGACAGGGTGGCTCACTCCTATAATCCCAGCACTATGGGAGGCCGAGGTGAGAGGATTGCCTGAGCCAATGGGTTCAAGACCAGCCTAGACAACTTGATGAGACCTCATCTCTACAGTAAATAAAAAAATTAGCCAGGCATGGTGGCACATGCCTGTAGTCCCAGCTACTTGAAAGGCTGTGGTGACTATGGGCGTACTACTGCACTCCAGCCTGGGCAGTTGATTTTTATAACAAGTTATACTTTTAGTGTTTTTGTTTTGTTTTGTAATAGAGACAGAGTCTCGCTGTGTTGCCCAGCCTGATTTCGAACTCCTAGGCTCAAGCAGTCCTCCCGCCTAGGCCTTCCAAAGTGCTGGGATTATAGGCATGAGCCACCATGCCCAGCCACTTTTCGTTTTTGAATAAGTAAAATATTGGAGCGACTTTCTTAGCCAGCTTTTCATTGATCCTTTGTTTTCTGTTTATTTGTTTGCTCTTTAAGGCCATGATTTGATTTGTGATTTAAGATCTTTATAAGGCATTGAGATTCATTATGTATTTATTCAGAATTTGAGATTGAACTATTATTTGATAAAGGTTAATGCTACAGAAGTAGTATTTTATACTTATTGTATAGTTGTTAAAACCATTGTGTTTGGTACTTGATCTTTTTTTTTAATCTTTATTTTAGATTCAGGGAGTTCACATGCATGTTCATTACATGGACATGTATAATGGTGGGGATTGGGTCTCAGGTGGCCCATTCCCCAGACAGAACATTATACCCATGGGTAATTTCTGAACATCAGCCCCCCTCCTCACCTCCTCCCTTATTGGTGTCCCCACTGTCTGTTATATCTATGTTTGTGACCATTTAGCTTCCACATATGAGTGAGGACATGTGGTATTTGACTTTCTGTTTCTGGGTCAGTTCACTTAGGATGATAATCTTCAGCTCCATCCATGTTGCTATATAGGACATGATTTCATTTTTTTCTTTTAATGACTGCAGTACTTGATCTTTGAAGATATTCCATAAAGAAGACAAAAATATGTAAAAGTTATGACTAGAATTAAGCAATTTATTTCTATTGTCAAATATATACTGTTAGACTGAAAGATCTAGAATGTCTGAATTTCCTATGAATTTGAAGATTTAAGTACTTATTATTTTAGTAAATATTTTCTTTGAATATAAAAACCAGTGGTCACAACTGGACATTTAAAGTGGAACCTTGGAATATTATTTTTTTTTAAATTAAAGACACTATTTGTTTATGATAAATATTGTCATACAGAAAGTGAAAAATAAAAGCTCCTTTACCTCTACCTTAATTCTTCTCCCTAGAAGATAACCACTATTGAAGAGTTTTTTTATAGGAATATTGTTAAGCATAACCTATTTCTGTATAGCACAGTGGATTTACAGTATTACAGTCTTCAAGGAAGCATAGCAATAAATATGGTCCATTAGTTACTTGAATAAATTTTTATCCATCAAAGTAAGAAGTACTCCGATAAGTTGAAGTGAAGAGATATGTGGTAGGAATGAAAATTCCTTGCTGATCTTCTTTCTAGCTTTTCGTTGATGACCTAGTGTTAAAAGAATTAATAAGCCAAACCAGGCGCAGTGGTTCACGCCTATATTCCCAGCACTTTGGGAGTTAGAGGCAAGAAGATTGCCTGAGTACAGGGTTTCGAGACCAGCCTGGGCAACTTGGTGAAACCTCATCTCTACAATAAATCAAGAAATTAGCTGGGCATGGTGGCGCGCCACTGTGGTTCCAGCTACTTGGAAGGCTAAGATGAAAGGATTGCCTAAGCCCAGCATGTTGAGGCTGCATTGGTCGTGAGTGCGCCACTGCACTCTAGCCTGGGCAACAGAGAGATTCCAACTCAAAAAAAAAAAAAAATTAATAAGCCAAGAAAATGTAAATGGGAGAATATTGAAGAATATTGAATTATCTTTATTAAAAAATTATATAGGCCTGGTAAGGACCATCACCTTTATCAAAAATATATACAGACAGTGATTATAACATGCAGAATCAACTCTAAGGTCAGTGGAATAATTTTAAAGGTCTCTGCTAAGTAAAGGACAATATTGTGAGAATAAAGAAAGCTTGAATTCTCACATTAATGGAAAAGGATGAGGGATTACTGAAAAAGGAACCTTATGATCCAATGTAGCATTCCTTGACTAGCTTCCAGTAAAGAAAACTCTAAAACTTTCTTTATGTGGTTGAATTCCTAAGGAGTATATAGAGCTGATTAAAACAGGCCAGGCACGCTGGCTCACTCTTGTAATCCCAGCACTTTGGAAGGCAGAGGCAGGAGAATTGCCTGAGCCCAAGAGTTTGAGACCAGTTTGGGCAACTTGGCAAGACCTTGTCTCTACAGTAAGTCAAAAAATTAGCCAGGTGTGGTGGTGCATGCCTGTAGTTCTAGCTATGTGGAAGACTGAGGCAGAAGGATTGCCTGAGCCCAGTAGTTGAGACTGAGGTAACCATGAGTGTGCCACTGCACTCCAGTCTGAGAGAATAAGACTCCAACTTAAAGAAAAGAAAAAAGTTAGGAAAAACCCCCATAAAAAAACAAAATAATATTCTGCCAGTCACAGTGAGTTCATGCCTATACTCCCAGCACTTTGAGAGGCTAAGGCAGAAGGATTGCTTGAGCCTAGAAGTTGAGACCAGCCTGGGCAAGATAGTGAGACGTTGTATCTACAAAAATAAAAAGTAAAAAAAATTAGCTGAACTTAGTGATGTACGCCTGTAGTCTCAGTTACTTGGGAGACTGAGGTGGAGGGATCACCTGAGCCCAGGAGGTTGAGGATGCAGTGAGCTATGATGGTGCCACTGCACTCCAGCCTGGACAACAGAGTGAGACTTTGACTCAAACAAACAAAAAAACAAAAAAAACAAAATAATATTAGATTGGACCCTATGGAGAATTCCTTTTCCTAAATTCAGTCTGTTGGAATGACTTTTCTGAATGCTTATTTCTTACTCGAAGCACAACTCTCAGATTTGGTTTCACTTATTTGTTCATCAGTAAAAATAACCATAGGAGAGGAGCTCATAAGAGCATGCTCTCTCGGTTCTAATTCTTATGCTCATTCCATGAAGATTTTTCATAAAACTGAGTTTAGTCAGATTTTTTGAGTGAGGTTAGGTCACAGAAGAGATGAGAATTTCTTTTGGTTAGAATGTTTCTGCTACAAGCCAGCATTATCCCTTTCGATATTTAACAACTAGGCTTATGGTCTACTAAAGGCATGCTGATCTCTTTTAGGTTGTTTGTAAATCAAATATCAGAAAATCTTTCCCATGGATTCTTGGGGAGCACCCTCAATCTCTGGCACTACTGTTATATTCAACTAGAAACAATGGGATTGGCAGTTCAGCCCCTGTGGCTTTAACTGAATGATTAGTTTGTGCCAGTATAGGAACTAGAACAATGGTAGGAATTGGAGATAAACAGTGATCACAACAGCAGTGGTTCTTGCTTTCGTGAAGCATGTAATCAGGCACGGAATAGATAAATACTAATCAAATAATTATACTAAGGAGTATATAGTGATAAACAGAAGCTCTTGAATTGAATGCATCTATCAACTCTTAGAATACTTGTTTCCAATAGAAGGGGTAGGAGAAAGCTTCTTTTATTTTTTCCTTTACCATTCATCTACTATAATCTTTCTATTGGTTTCTAACAAAGGTACATTGTTTCAACAAATAATTAATTCAGATTATCTTGCCTTTAAAAAATAGATTTGGTCTCTTTTAATAAAACAGAATAAAATAAATAAATAAGAGATTTATTTGGAGAGCATTGTTTACATTCCCTGAATCCATTCCAAACTTTATGGTTCAGCAGATAGCAGCATGATCCAGATTTGATTTAATATGATAGTTAATTTTTTCCTTACCTCTGTTAATTACAGATTATTTGTTACAACTAATTGGTTTTGTACTTCAGTATACTTAATTTAGTGTTTATATCAAAAGTAATGCCAAGGAACAATTTTTTTTTAAGCTGAAGTGGTCTGTCTTAAATGATGGGAACCTCACTTTTATACCTTCTAACTTTAATATTGATCCTATCAAACAAACAATATCCATCTTTCAATTAGGAGGGCAGGTCATTAAAGAAGTTAATATGTCAGTTTATTAAGTGAAAACAAAGTTGTTGCTATTGAGATACATATATCACTGTCCTTTGACATGATAATGGCATTGTTCATTGTAGCTCAGGTTATAATTTTCTTGTGTCAAAATGTGTAATAAATTAAGACATTCTTATTAACATTATCTACATATTATAGACATCCTGAGAATATTGTTTAGTATTAAAGAAAACATGTATGGTTGAATATATTATGCTATATGACCTAGAATATATAATTTTTATCTCCTTTATAATAGGTATGTTAAATTTACCATTTAAATATTTTACCATTAGTAATAATATTGACAAACATTATGTTGCATACTGTATTTATAGGTTAAATAAAATATATTTCAGAGCTTTAAAGATAAATATAATATCATTATAAATTTGTTCAAACTCATAGAATGCACACGAAGAATGAGCCCTTAGATAAACTGTGGACTCAGAGTGATAGTGATGTGTCAGTATAGGTTTATCAAATGTAATGTGTACCATTTTGGTGGCAGATGTTCATTATGGGGTAAGCTATGCATGGTTAGGATGGGGATATTTGGCTTTCACTCTACTTTTCTCTCAATTTTGCTGGGAACCTAAAACTGCTCTAAAAAAATTGTGTTTTAAAAAAGCTCAAAATAAAATTTAAATTCAAAAGTGAAGAAGAAATAAATATTTTCAGATAAAATATAAATGTAATAGTAATAAAAATGGGCCATGTGAATGTTTTGTATGCTGTAATAAAAATTTTAATTGTGTTATTTTTTTTTCTTATAGATATTCCACTTCTTCCATCTATTACTTCTCTGAGTCTAAGTGAAAATGAAGAGAAGAGTGGACCTTTTGTGGTACACTGGCTAAACAATAAAGAGCTGCATTTTAGTTTGTCTATGGAAGTCTTTTTGCAGCAACTTAGAAAAAGTTTTGAACAACCATCTTCTGAGGCCAGTGTAGAGGACTCTAATCAGGCAGATGTAAAATCTGATGAAGGTAAAGCTTTAAGAAGCAAGAACAATTCAGTTTTGTTTAAAATAGTAAAAGTTTTTATAGTAATTAAAACTAGCTACTGTCAGAAATAAACGTCAAAATTGCAATGACATAATAGAAATCTGGAGTAGCTCTTTTAATAATCCAGTGTAGATGTTTCTGTGGCAAGTGGCTTTCTTCCACATGGTGATTTAAAGACATGGGTTTTCCTTTCTTGTGGTTTTGCCAACCCCTAGGACTTTGCTACTTAAAGGACTATTCGTAGACTAGCAGCATTGGCATTACCCAGGAGCTTGTTAGAAGTTAGAAATCTCGCCGGGCTCGGTGGCTCAGCCTGTAATCCTGCGCCTTTGGGAGGCTGAGGTGAGTGGATTGCTCTGAGCCCGCGGGTTCGAGACCCATCTGGGCAGGCGAGACCTCATCTCTACCTGCCTGGGCAGCGAGACCTCATCTCTACAGTAAATCAAAAAATCAGCCGGGCATGGTAGTGCATGCCTGTGATTCCGGCTACTCGGAAGGCTGAGGCGGAAGGATCGCTAGAGCCCAGCAGGTGAGGCTGCGGTGGCCGGGAGCGGCCACTGCACTCCAGTCTGGGCGACTGAGTGAGTCTCTGACTGAAAAAAAGAAAAAAATTAGCTGGGCGTGGTAGTGCGTGCCTGTAATTCCAGCTACTCGGATCGCCGGAGCCCAGCAGGTCGAGGCTGCGGTGGCCGGAGCGGCCACTACACTCGTCTGGGCGACAGAGTGAGACTCCAACTCAAAAAAAAAAAAAAAAAAAAAGTTAGAAATCTCAGGCTCTGCACAGATCTACTAAATCAGAATTTTCAATTTAATGAAATTTCTGGACGATTTGTATGTACATTTAAAGTTTTTTGTTTTGTTTTGTTTTTGAGCCAGAGTCTGCTGTCACCCAGGCTGGAATATAGTGGCATGATCATGGCTCACTGCAGCCTTGACCTCCTTGGGCTCAGGCAGTCCTTCTGCCTCCTAAGGAGCTGGGACAACAGGTGCATGCCACAACAAGCAGTTTATTTTTTTGACTTTTTTTCTTTTTCTTTTTTTAACAGAGATGAGGTCTTGCTATGTTGTGCAGGCTGGTCTCAAACTGTTGGGATCAAGCAATCCTCCTGGCTTGGTCTCCCAGAGTATTGGGATTGCAAGTGTGAGCCATGACATTGGGCCTGAATACAGATAGTTTTATTTTTAAAGTTGTACTATGGGTTTTCATTCTTAAATAAAATTTAGGTTTCACAATTTGTTTTAATTCAGTCAGTATTGGGCAAATTTCCATCTCATTTTTAACAGTTATTGAGTAATCCATGTGTAAGAGAAATCTTAAAAATTCCTCTAATGATATTTAACTTGACTTAAAATTTCTTTTATTATACTAATAATGGTACAGTGAGACTTTTAAAACTCTTTCTGTGAATTTTTCTATAACATAGACCCTAGTCGCAGAATTTCCAGGAAATATACTAATTTTAAATATCAATAACTTCTGACAAATTGCCCTCCAGAAGCGTTTTACCAGTTTATACTTCCTCTAAGTATGTCCAAATATACTTTTTACATGTGCTTGCCAACAGTGGATCTTTTTATTGTATTACTTTTTTTTAAAATGACATCTTGTTTTAATTTGCATTTTCTTGATGCAAATTGAACAGAATGAGTATCTTATGTTCTAGCCCTCTGTGGCTTGCATTTTCATATCCTTGCCCTAATTTCCTTTTGAGTTATTTTTATTTTCTTACTGATTTGTGTATCTTGACTTATTTTTTAATCTGGTAAGCAGTCAAACTTTTTTTACATGTCTCTTTAAAGAAAGAATCTATATTCCTATCCAGGAGTTAGGGGGAATATGGGGACTAAGATTTTTGAAAGAGGTGGGAATACACATATTTACCTGTATCAGTAAGTTGTTATTAATTAATAATATGTTGAAGGAAACCTGGAAATTGGCATCATAAATGTATTTTCTTAAAATGGTTTCTTTAAGATGTCATATCAGTTATAAGTGCATACACCTAGAGGATAACTAGTATAGCATGTACAGGTTTGGATAAAACTGGAACTGTGAGTAAAGGGCAAATTACATTCAAATAATATATTTAAAAAATTTGGATTTGAAATTTTAAGCCCAATTCTAATTCCCTCATTTTACCATGAGCAAAACTGAGGTCCAGAGTAGCAGAGTCTTAACTGAAGGTTAACTAAGTGGTTAAATGAGGACATCTGGATTTAGAATCCAATTTCCCTATTTTCCAGTTCAATATTAGTTCTTCTACAATAATGCATTGACTCTTAAAGGTCTTCTGATTATTGAATTAACTCCAGTGACCTTATATTCCTGGAGTAAAGTTTCTTTAAAGGGGAACACGTTTCTTAAGATGAAAACTATTGTTTTTCATCTTGAATGCATTTACAGGGACATTTCTTAATTTATAGAAATAACCTGATTGTGTTTACTTGGTCATGAACTCTTGTTTATAGAAACAGATGATGGTGTTGATGATCTGAAAATAAATCATGAAAAGAAGGACTTGGGCAGTGATAAAATGGTCCCAAACTCAAGTTCTGCATCATTACCATCAGCTGCTATTGATCATCAGATTGAAGTACTTCTGTCTGAATGGAGTAAAAATGCAGATATGCTATTCAGTATTCATCCCATGGATGGTTCTTTGCTAGTCTGGCATGTGGATTGGCTGGATGAATACCAGCCTGGTATGTTTCGTCAAGTACAGGTACTATTATTATGATCTCTGGAGAGCTACTTGTTTATATGTGTACTGTTTTGTCATACTTCTTTGTGTAATTTTTACATGTTTTAATACTTGCTTTTTAAATTCTAGGTGTCCTTTGTTTCCAGAATTCCAGTAGCTTTTCCCACGGGTGATGCTAATTCTCTCTGTAAAAGCATAGTGATGTATGCCTGTACCAAGAATGTTGACTTGGCTATTCAACAAGGGAAGCAAAAACCTTCTGGCCTGACTCGTTCCACATCAATGCTTATCTCTTCTGGTCAAAATAAATCACCTAATAGTTTAAAATTGAGTATTTTTACTCCTAATGTTATGATGATTTCCAAGCATGCTGATGGTTCTCTGAATCAGTGGCTGGTCAGTTTTGCTGAGGAATCTGCTTTTTCTACAGTACTCAGTATTTCCCACAAATCCAGATATTGTGGTCATCGCTTTCATCTTAATGATTTAGCTTGCCATTCAGTATTACCATTATTGTTGACAACGTCACACCATAATGCACTAAGGACACCAGATGTTGATAACCAAAAACACCCTTTTGATGCTATAAATATTGAATGTTCTTTGACACAACAAAATAAAAGCACTGCTGATGTGGCATTTCAGGATCCCAATGCAATTTACAGTGAGCTTATTCTTTGGAGGGTTGATCCAGTTGGGCCATTGTCTTTCTCTGGAGGAGTTTCTGAGCTTGCCCGGATTAATTCCCTTCATGTTTCTGCCTTTTCCAATGTGGCGTGGCTACCCACTCTTATACCCAGTTACTGTTTAGGTAAGCATTCTTATTTTTATTTCAGTAATTTAGATTTTCAGAAATCATCACTAAAGGTTTAAATTTTAAATATTTCTAAATACTTTTAGGTGCATACTGCAACTCTCCTAGTGCGTGTTTTGTAGCAAGTGATGGACAGCATCTGAGATTATATGAAGCGGTTATTGATGCCAAGAAACTTTTATTTGAGCTTTCTAACCCTGAAATTTCTGTAAGTTATAGCTTTTAAAAGTTTAAGTACATAATACAATCTTTTACACTGTTTTATACTTATTGGTTATGTTCTAGAATTGTGGCATATAGTTTGTAATAAACATTTGTATCTTTATGGTTTTTTCACATTTGTGTTACACTCTTATAATAAGTCTAAGCTCCTTTAAAAAGAAACCATTTCGACTGAGCACGATGGCTAAAGCCTGTAATCGCAGCATTTTAGGAGGCCAAGGTAAGGGGATTGCCTGAGCCCATGGGTTCGAAGAACAGCCTAGGCAACTTGGTGAGACCTCATCTCTACAATAAATAAAAAAAATTAGCTGGGCATGGTAGCACACGCCTGTAGTTCCAGCTACTTGGAAGTCTGAGGTTGAAGGATTATCTGAGCCCAGCAGGTTGACACTTGGGTGACTGTGAGCATGCCACTGCACTCTGGCCTGGGCAATGGAGTGAGATGCCAACTAAAAAAAAGTAAATAATAAAAAAAAGAAGAAACCATTTGTTTCACTCATTCAAAAATTAGAGTCTAGTCTTATGCAATATGTGTTTCTGTAGCACTTTTTGCTCATAGATAGATGGGGGACTATTGACAGTATAATGTGAAAGTTATGTTGGTTCATTTGCAGTTTTTCCCTAGGCATAAGGAAATGGAATAACAGGAATAGAATTTTAATCTTAAGCATGAAAGGAAGAAGCCCTCAGTTTGGTTGTATATCAGGCAGTAGTCCTTTCAATACTCTTGCAAAGCTTTTGCTTAATGACAGGCCACGCTTCTTCCTGTGTCTAAGAGCAACCTATCAACTGCATTATCCCAGCACCTTCAGCAACCAAGAGGTTCTACTTTTTTGATTTTGGTTTTTTAAAATATCCCCAGAGGCAGCCTTCAGCTGTAATAAGCTTCCTGTTAAGGTATTCAAGTCATCTTCTCAACTATTTAATGTAGTTGTTAATGCTCTGGTTTGAACTTTGCGTAAATATGAGTGGTCTGCTCCAATCCTGTTTTTATCGTAAGTTATTTTTAATGCATGATTTTGTAGAACACAAGATTTTCAAAACACACATATAGCGTTATAATGGAAATCCGTATATTTATTGAGGGTCTCTATTTATCAGGCATTGTTTTAAGTACTGGGAGTGTAGATGTGCACAAAGCAGGCAAACATTCATATCATTGAACTTATATTTTGCTGAAGGGAGATAGGAAAAAAACAGATAAAAATCTGTTAATTAACATGTGCAATGGAGAGAAACAGTATTGCGAAAGAAGTAGGGAGATCCAGGTAAGATGCTGGTTGGGGGAAACTTCACAGGAAAAAAGTATCATTTATTTAAAAACATGAAGGAGGTGAGGGAGCTAGATATGTCAATATTTAAATGAAGAGCGATTCAGGAAGATGAATAGCCAGGTCAAAGACTCTGAGGCCAGAGCATGTTTGGTATGTAATAGAACAGCAAGGAGGCCATTGTGGCTAGAGCAGATTATATGAAGTGCTGAGTAGTCATGGATAAAGTCAGAGAGTTAGTCTAGCAAGTTCATACAAGGCCTCATAGACCTCAGTGGTAACTTTCACATTTATTCTCAATAGCTTGAAAACCATATGGTTTAGGTTTTATGGATTACTGTGGTAGCTGTATGAATTAGACATGGGAGACAGAAGTGGAATCAGAGAGACTAGTTTAGGATGCAATTACAGTGATCTAAGAAAGAGACAAAGAGGTTTGGATGGTAACAAAGTGATAATGATAGAGATGACAAGCATGGTTAATTTCTGGATGTGTTTTGAACATTGAATAGTCAGGACTAGACTGGATATGGAATGTATGTGAGAAAAAAGTATGACTTCCGTGGTTTGTGACTAATCATGAAGAATAGAACTGCTGTGAGTTGGAATAGGGAAGAATATAAATGAAACAGATTTTGAGGGGACAGGGAGATTGAGGAGCCTGGCTTTGGACATGTTAATTTTGAAATGCCTACATAACATCCAAGAGGGTCAGTAGACTAGTTTATGGAGTTTAGGGGGAAGTCTGGCCTGTAGATATAAAAGAGTTATCAACATATACATTTAAAGTTGAGAAAGTAGATGAGATCATTAAGGGAGTAAGTATAGTTAGAAAATAGAAGTGATGGAAAGATTGATTCTAGAGCATTTTATTGTTAAAAATAGAGTGGAAAAAAGTAGATATATAATGGAAGCCAAGTGAAGAAAGTATTTCAAGGAGGGGAGGGTGACTAATTAGTCAGATCAAATGGGGCTGATAGAGAAAATATGATAAAGCTTGATAATTGACCACTGTATTTAGCAATGGGATCTTGACTACAACAGTCAGGACATAAATGGCTGAATAAATCAGCATGTATAATAGTATGTCAACTTGTTTCTTTAGCTCCATCCTTCCCACCTCAAATTAATGCTTAAAAAGCACTAATTCTTTTTTTTTTTTTTTGAGTTGAGAGTCTCACTCTGTTACCCAGGCTGGAGGGCAGTGGCATGCTCCCGGCCACTGCAGCCTCGACCTGCTGGGCTCAGGCGATCTTTCCACCTCAGCCTTCAAAGTGGCTGGAATTACAGGTATGTGCCACCATGCCCGGCGAATTTTTTTTATTTATTGTAGAGATGAGGTCTCACCAAGTTGCCAGGGCTGGTCTCAAACTCATAGGCTCAGGCAGTCCTCTCACCTCAGCCTCCCAAAGTGCTGGGATTATAGACGTGAGCCACCGTGCCCAGCCAAAAAGCACTAATTCTTAGAATATTTGTAGAAGATTTAAGTCAGTTTTTCACATTTATGAATATAAAGTATTTTTTTTCCTAGCAGTTATCAAGCATTGCTTTTGTTTTTTTCTGTACCAATGGAGCTGTAGTGCTTACTCATTTCTGTGTAATTCCAGTAAGGCAAAGGCCTAGAATGTTTGTAAGTGAAAGGGACTATGTTTAGCTCTACTTGAAGTTTACTTTTATGTATCTGTTATACCTGAAATTTCATATTATTTGCTCTTAGTTACTTTTGAATTTAATTGTACAGTAAAGGAGATACCTTTTTTTTAAAAAAAAAAAACAGAAATATGTTGGTGAAGTGTTCAACATCGTCAGTCAGCAGTCGACAGCCAGGCCAGGATGTATCATTGCATTAGATCCCATTACCAAACTTGTAAGTATTAATTTTTGTTGTCAGTAGATTAAAAAAAAATTTATGAAAAAATTTTGTATAAAATCTGTATGATAATTATTATAATTTGATATTTTGCTATATATTTGTATATAAAGTAGTTCAGTAAATTAATCTAATGTCACATACTAGATAACATGCATTGTACATTTTACTTTCTATACTTCGAACTAGAAAACATCAAATTATATTTTCATATATTTAAAAAATTATATTTTTATATTACTATATGTGCAACCAAATATGTTTTCAAACATTGACTCTTAAATACATTATGAATATTAATAGTGCCATATTGCCATAGATTTAATAAAGTATCAGCTTCCTCATTCCATGGCAATGAAAATCACTAAAAAGGAAACTGGGTTCGTTTGTGTTTGAAATAGAACACGTTGGTGGATCTTGTTGCTTAATTTGTAAAGAGTCACTGTAATGAAAGTAAACCATTTTAACCAAAATTTTACAGTTTCATCTAGTTAATCTCATGGAGGTCCCATCGACGTATAACCTGCTAAATTTTTGACCTTTTGTTTGTTTTGCTTGAATATTCCATTATGGAGTACTATTTTTCTGGCTACTTAGCATTAGGTAAATATATGTCAACTTATGTTGGTGTTTATTTCTATTTAGCATGGTAGAAAAACTCAACTGCTTCATGTTTTTCAAGAAGACTTCATTTTGAATAACCTTGAGAAGAAAAGTCTGGGAAAAGACAACACTTTATCTGATGCAGGTAAAGAAGAATTTTTATGTAATGCGAAAAACTATATGCAGTATGTTAGGCAATTAATAAAGATGAATTGGTATAATGCTTCACATCATCTATTTGAAGTTAAAATTATTCTGTGTAGGTTTGCGATATTATTTATCATAAATGTTTCATTATGTTTCATTATTAAAAGAATTTTTGCTATGTTGCCCAGGCTGGTCTTGAACTCTGTGAACTCACAGGCATGAGCTCCTATGCTTGACTGAAATCTCTTTAAATTAAGATTTTTAAAAGAAATTACTCTTCTATTCATAAGATTGAATTTTGCTAAGATCATCATCTGTTCCAGCATTTTATTTTCTTCAATTTTTAAGTTACTTTTTCTTCATTTTTTTAACTTGAATTTTTCACTTTGTGGTTTTAAAAAATTTTTTCTTAAAATATTCAGCAAATTCTTACTTTCATTAAAAAATATCATCTTCGCCGGGCTCGGTGGTTCAGCCTGCAATCCCGCGCCTTTGGGAGGCTGAGGTGAGTGGATTGCCTGAGCCCGTGGGTTCAAGACCTGCCTGGGCAGCGAGACCTCATTTCTACAATAAATCAAAAAATCAGCCGGGCGTGGTAGCGCGTGCCTGTAATTCCGGCTACTCAGAAGGCTGAGGCAGAAGGATTGCTGGAGCCCAGCAGGTTGAGGCTGCGGTGGCCGGGAGTGGCCACGAGTGGCCACTGCACTCCAGTCTGGGAGACAGAGTGGGACTCCAACTCAAAAAAAAAAAACTTGGCAAGATCTTATCTCTACAATAAATCTAGAAAAATTAGCCAGTCATGGTGGCACATGCCTATAGTTCCAGCTACTTGGAAGGCTGAGGCAGAAGGGTCACCTGAGCCCAGCAGGTTGAGGCTGCAATGGCTGTGAGCATGCTACTGCACTCCAGCCTGAGTGACAGAGTGAGACTCCAGTGTAAACAAAAACAACAAAAAAAAATTTCAGGCCAGGTAATCCCAGCATTTCTGTAGGCAGAGACAAGAGGATTGCCTAAGCCCACAGGTTCAAGACCAGCCTAGACAACATGGTGAAACCTCGTCTCTACAGTAAATCAAAAAGTTAGCTGAGTGTGTTAGAGCGCACATGTGGTTCCAGCTACTTGGAAGGCTGAAGTGTAAGGATTGCCTGAGCCCAGCTGGTGGAGGCTGCGTTGGCTGTGAGTATGCCACTGCACTCCAGCCTGGGCAACAGAGTGAAACTCTTACTCCAAAAAAAATATAATAATTTCCAGCAACAATAAACCATTGATTTTATGATATATTTTTGAAAGATTTATTTATTTATTTATTTATTTTGAGCAACTTGTATACTCTTTATGGAATTTGGGCTAAGAAAAATTGTTTTGAATGTTGTATAGTATAATAAGTGTTTACATTTTGGCCATTAGATAAACATCATGAAGTAGTCATTCTATTATGCAATTTAGTTATCTCGAAAAATGTTTCACAGCACCATTTTCATTGTGATATGTTGATTTAAAGTGTATATCAGATAGTTCCCTATCTGTTTAGAAATTTCTCACATTATAAGTCCAATCTATGTGAACAATTTGATAGTGATAGCTGTAATAATACGAACTTTTAACACCTATTAATTAAAAAATGATTAGCATAGCATGCATAATGCAAACATTTTAAGTTAATGCAGATTAATGTGGTAAAGTACTTGAATGTATTCTGTAATGCCACTTTGTATTTGAAACCTTAGGTAAAGGTTTTTATTTCTTTTTTTAATCCAGTTATTTTAACTTGGCATATTTAGTAAGTTCTCTTATTTATCCATGTTAATAGTGAAAAATATCATTAAACCAATAGGCAGCTCACCTAATGGATTTTCTGAAAAGTTCTACCTAATTGTAATAGAGTGCACTCAAGACAACCGTTCACTGTTACACATGTGGAATTTACATTTAAAGTCAGTTCCTGTCTCATTGGGTGAGTCTTTCTTTTTGTAACTTTAAATTGGTTTAAATTAACAGATTATGCATAATTACATAATTCAGGGCATATTTCTTCAAGCCATTCTTAAGTGGTGATAATTGTGGTTAATTTAAAAAGCAAAATGATTTTCTCATTTTCTTGCTGTAAAGAGTAATATTAATATGTTAACTATATTATCTTTTATAAAGCAGTTGTGGATAGTAAAATGGAGCAATTATAATATTTATAGAGTTCCATTGCTCCAGGTTTTTTTTTTTCCTCTTATGTTTTATAGATGAAAAAGTAGATAAAAAAATATCTGAAGCAGTTTGGCAACCAGAAGAACATCATTCTTCTCCAGAGAAAATCCTATCTCCTTTTTCACAGAAGTATCAGGCTTGCAGAGCAAATCTCCAGAGTACCAGCAAGTTGACTCTGTTTTCAGAAATGGTTTATAGCCAAGAATTGAATTTGCCAGAGGGAGTTGAGATAATAAGTATCAAGCCATCAGCAGGTTTGTACATTTTATGAAAAGACACTAGTCTAACTTTGTAACTCATGAATGTTTACCAGGTATTTAAAAAAGAGATGCTGTAAATTTCTCTTAAATCCACACAGAACCAGAAATGGAAATAATATATTCAAATACCCTAAATTGAAGACTTAAATTTCTTACTGTGTTTTCAGATTATTCTAACATTTATCAGCCAGTTCTAGTCTTTTTTTTTAATAATCAGTATTTTTTATTATGATGTTGTGGGGTACAGTTAAGGGTTAGGTATACAAATACGTTGCATTCGGGCACCCTATTGATAAGAGGTGCTTCCCCATCCCCAGATAGATATTTGCTACCGTTAATCCCATCTCCCTACCCCCCATATAGTTTCCCACTACTGTCAGTCATTTTCTTATAGTATTACATTGGATGTTCAAGGTCCATTATATGAAGAGAACATGTGATACTCGGATCTTTGTTTTTGGGAGAGGTCACTCAGTATTATAGACTCTAGTTCCATCCAGGTTGCATTCATGATTTTGTTCTTTTTTATGGCTGCATAGTATTCCATTGTGTATATGTACCACATTTTTTTAATCCAGTCCTCTTTTGATGGGCAACATGGTTGCTTACAGGTTCTTGCTATTGTGAACAATGCTGCGATAAACATACATGTGCAGGTATCTTTTTTATAAAGTGATTTGAATTCTTCAGGTTATATTCCCAGTAGAGGGATTGCGGGGTCACATGGGAGGTTGGTATTTAGAGCTTTTAGGAATCGCCACACTGCTTTCCACAGAGGTTGCACTAGTTTACACTCCCACCAACAGTGTAGAAGTATTCCCTTTTCGCCACACCCTCTCCAGCAGCTGTTATTTTTTGAGTTGTTGATAATTGCCATTCTGACTGTAGTTAGGTGGTATCTCAGTGTGGTTCTGATTTGCATCTCCCTGATGATTAGTGAGGTTGAACATTTCTTCATGTGTCTGTTGGCTGCTTGAATGTCTTCCTTTGTGAAGTGTCTGTTCATATCTTTTGCCCATTTTATAATGGGGTTGTTTTTTTCTTTTCAGCATGTTTGAATTCCTTGTAGATCAAAGATGTTAAGCCTTTGTCTGACCTGGTGTTGGCAAATACTTTTTCCCAGTCTGTAGGCTGTCTCCCAGCTCTCTTGATGGTTTCTTTGGCTTTGCAGAAGCTTGTCAGTTTAATAAGGTTCCACTTGTCTATCTTCTCTCTTATGACCTATGGGTTTTGGGTTTTGTTTAGGAATTGGATGCCAGTTCCGATTTCCATGAGGGTATGTCTTTCATTTTCTAAGGTTCTTATAGTTTGAGGTTTTACATTTAGGTCTCTGATCCATTTGGAGTTAACCTTTGTGCATGGGGATAGATAAGGGTCCTGTTTCAATCTTCTGCATGTGGTCAGCCAGTTCTCCTTGCACCATTTACTGAATAGGTTCTCCTCTCCCCAGTGGTAGGTGGTGGAGGCTTTGTTGAAGATGAGTTGGTTGAGAAATTGAGGTCTTGCTTCTGGAATCTCAATTCTATTCCATTGATCTATATGCCTGTTCCTATACCAATACCAAGCTGTTTTGATGATTGTAGCTTTCTAGTAAAGTTTGAAGTCTGGTAATGTGATACCTCCTGCTTTGTTTTTTTGCTGAGGATTGTTCTGGCTATTCTTGGACGTTTGTGTTTCCATATGAATTCCTGTGCTGTTTTTTCTAGGTCTGAGAAGAATGTTGCTGGTAATTTGATGGGTATTGCATTGAATTTGTAGATTGCCTTAGGTAAGGTGGACATCTTCACAATATTGATTCTTCCAATCCATGAGCATGGGATATTTTTCCACTTATTTGTGTCATCTTTTATTTCTTTGAGTAGTGTTTTGTAGTTTTCCTTGTAAAGGTCTTTCACGTCTCTGGTTAGGAAGATACCAAGGCATTTCATTTTTTTTGTGGCTATTGTGAATGGAATTGTGCTTTTTATTTGAGTTTTTGTTTGTTTCTTATTGGTGTAAAGAAATGCAATTGTCTTTTGCACATTTATTTTGTATCGTGAGACTTTGCCAAAGGCCTTTATCAGTGTAAGGAGATTTTTGACAGATTGTCTTGGGTTTTCAAGGTACACAATCATATTGTCTGCAAAGAGAGATAACTTCACTTCTTCTTTTCCTATTTGAAAACCCCTGATTGCCTTCTCTTCTCTGATTGCTCGAACCAGGACTTCCAATACTATGTTGAACAGGAGGGGTGAGAGTGGGCATCCTTGTCTTGTTCCAGTTTTCAGGGGAAATGGTTTCAATTTTTGTCCATTTAGGAGTATGCTGGCTGTGGGTTTCTCGTAGATGGCTTTTATTATTTTGAAGTATGTTCCCCGTATGCCTAGATGTTCGAGGGTTTTTATCAAGAAAGGGTGCTGGATTTTATCAAAAGCTTTTTCTGCATCTAATGATATGATCATGTGGTTTGTGTTTTGAGATCTGTTGATGTATTTAATTACATTTATGGTTTTATGAATGTTGAAACAGCCTTGCATCCCAGGAATGAAGCCTACTTGGTCATGATGCATGATTTTTGAGATGTATTGTTGAATCCAGTTCGCTAGGATCTTGTTGAGAATTTTAGCATCTATGTTCATCAAAGATATTGGCCTGTAGTTCTCTTTCTTTGTTGGATCTTTACCTGGCTTGGGTATCAATGTGATGTTGGCTTCGTAAAATGATTTGGGGAGAGTTCCATCTTTTTCTTTTTCTTTTCTTTTCTTTTCTTTTCTTTTTATTTTATTTATTTATTTATTTATTTTTGAGTTGGAGTCTCACTCTGTCACCCAGACTGGAGTGCAGTGACCACTCCCGGCCACTGCAGCCTTGACCTGCTGGGCTCCGGGGATCCTTCCGTCTCAGCCTTCCAAGTAGCTGGAATTACAGGCATGCACTACCACGCCCTCCTGATTTTTTGATTTATTGTAGAGATGAGGTCTTGCTGCCCAGATGGGTCTCGAACCTGCAGGTTCAGGCAGTCCACTCACCTCAGCCTCCCAAAGGTGCAGGATTACAGGCTGAGCCACCGAGCCCGGCCTCCATCTTTTCAATAGCCTGGAATACCTTCAGTAGGATTGGTATCAGCCCCTCCTTAAATGTCTCGTAGAATTCTGCTGGAAAGCCATCTGGACCAGGGCTTCTTTTTTTTTAGGTAGTTTTCTTATTATGTAGTTGATCTCCTTGATTGTTATTGGTCTATTTAGTGTCTCAATTTCTTCTTGTTCCAACCTAGGTAGGTTGTGTGATGTCAGAAAGTCTTCCATTTCCTTCTGGTTTTCAAGTTTGTTTCCATACAAGTGTACGTAGTAGTCTCTAATGATCTTTTGTATTTCTTCAGGGTCAGATGTGACTTCATCTTTTGTGTTTCTGATTATGCTTATTTGGTTTTTTTCTCGTTTTTTCTGGTCAGTCTAGCTAGGGGACCATCGATCTTGTTATCCTTTCAAAGAACCCAGCTTTTTGTTTCATTGATTTTTTTGTATTTTCTTTTTGTCTTCTATGTCCTGGATTTGAGCTTTTATTTTGGTAATCTGGATTCTTATGCTGAAATTAGGGTTTTTGTGGTCTTGCTTTTCCAGCTTCCGTAGGTGGTGTGTTAGGCGGTTAATTTGTGTTCCTTCCATTTTCTTCATGTGTGTTTGTAGGGATATAAATTCTCGTCTTACTACAGCTTTTAAGGCGTCCCAGAGATTTTTCTCATTTTCTTTTGTTTCCAGGTATTTTTTGATCTCTGTTTTGATTTCATCATTGACCCAGGAGTTGTTTAGCATCATGCTGTTTAGTGTCTATGTCTTTGTGGGTTTTGGGGGACCTTGTTGGTGTCAATGTTTGTTTTTATTCCACTGGGGTCCGAGAAGGTGCATGGTAGAATTTCGGTCCTTTTAAATTTGCTTATGCTTGATTTATGGCCAATTATGTGGTCAATCTTAGAATACGTTCCATGCGGTGATGAATAGAATGTGTATTCTGTGGTCTTTGGATGGAGTGTTCTGTAGGTATCACTTAAGTTTATTTGATCCAAAGTCACATTGAGGTTCCGGATCTCCTTCCTGATTTTTTGTCCTGATGATCTGTCTAGGGTTGTGAGTGGGGTATTAAAGTCCCCAGTTATGATGGTGTTAGAGTCAATATCTTTCTTTAGTTTTCCTAGAAGTTGCTGTATGAAAGTTGATGCACCTATGCCGCGTGCATATATGTTTAGGATAGATATTGCTTGTTGATGGAGTGAACCTTTTATCATTATGTAGTGGCCCACTGTATCTTTTTAATTTTTGATATCTTAAATGGTATTTTGTCTGAAATTAGGATCACGACTCCTCCTTTCTTTTGTGTTCCATTCGCCTGAAAATTTGTTTCCCATCCTCTTACTTTGAGTCTGTGTGTGTCCTTTCTAGTGAGATGGGTCTCTTGAAGGCAGTGTATTGTTGCCTGATGATATTTTATCCATTTTGCCATTGTATGTTTTTTCAGTGGCGCGTTTAGTCCATTCACATTCAGGCTAATTATTGAAATGTGAGAGTTCATCCCTATCATAAAGTTCTTATAGAGTTGTTGTTCTTCCACTTGGTTTTTTTTTTTGTCTTTCGGTTTGTGGGTTGGTTCATGTATATTTTATTCTTTTCCCTGTACTCTTGTGAAGAACGTTGTTCTTTTTTCCTTTTCTTCTGTGTTTAGTACTTTCTTAAGTGTTTCATGTAGAAGTGGTTTGGTGGCAGCATAAGTTCTTAGGGACTGGATATCTGGGAAAGATTTTAATTCTCCCTCACTGATGAAGCTTAGCTTGGCTGGGTAGGTTATTCTTGGTTGAAATTGTTTGTCTTTTAGGACATTGAAGATAGGGCTCCGTAGCCTGCAGGGTTTCTGTAGATAAATCTGCTGCTATTCTGATTGGTCTTCCCTGGTAGGTGATCTGGCCTTTTTCTCTTGCTGCCTTTAGGATTTTTTCTTTTATGCCTACTTTGTTTAGGTGAATT